TAATCTATATATTTCTGTCACCAGTAAGCCTAAGATGTATATAGCTTTATATTTCATGTGCACTTTATGAGTAAAATTTAATATTTTAGTTCAAAAAATTTTCTCCGTTTTTTTATGTGATTTCCAGCTTCGGTTAATCTCGGACACTTGTCACATTTACTCGTATGATTTTTATAACGGGAAAACTTATTTCTCTCAAAGGTAACTTTAGGATTTCCATCGGGTAATTCTCAAAATTCCCTCTCAGGTAACTGAAATTTATTTTTATAAGGTAACGATATACTATTTCAAATAATGTAGGCCTATTTCTCGTGTAACATTTAGATTCTTTCCCCACACACAGCTCCAACAAGATGAATCAAGCCCAAGTGTCTATCCTCGTGGTCCTGTTCTCCTTACTCCTTGTTACACACACACAGACCGCCTCACTGGAAGACTTCTTCAGGTTAGATGATTTTTTTTTAAAATTCGAGTCCAAACACGTACAAACAAGGTAGTGAACATATTCCAGCTGTTCACTTAAGAGACTTCACGTTCATGTATTTTCTAGTTAGGTTATCTTAGTAATGAGATAAACATTTCTAATTTGTTTTCTTTAGTAATAGATTTTACTTCCTTCATTGTCCTAGCAACAGGGTGACAATTTATATATTTTTTACTCTAACAACGCGGTATATAATTTCTAGGTATTTGGTCCTAGGAACATGTATTTTAGTCCTAGCAATCTCTGGATAGTTGTAACAATACTATGGCATTTCCTAGATTTATAGTTCTACCAACATGGTGAAAATTTCTAGATAGTTATTTCTAGCAACATATTGGTTAAACTTATAGATCATTATTTCATATATATACCAGGTTCTCTGCTTTTCTGGTAAGTGACCATGTCTAACTTGCGTAAGTTACTACTGGTCTTATGATAGTGGTGTATGTTGTCTTCTTTGTTCCTCTTGAGAGATTTTTGCGCCCCAGTAGCTTTTCTAGGCTGAAATAGGAACGGTTTCCTGCAGTTTTTCTTTCTGTCATCTCCGACATTATTTTATTATGCTCGTTTATAGTTGTCCCTAGATATTTGAATGTAGAAAATCCCTTTAATTTGCGGTTCTTCTTCTTATATTTGAGGGGCCCACAATCAATTTGTTGATCATTCTGGGTCCTGGTTTTAAATTCAGAGTTTGCCTTCTCTTAGATGGTTTGCCGTCCAAGGCTAACGAGTCCCATCCACCCGGGGTGCTTGGGATGTTGGCTTTGATGGGCGTTGAACTCCGGACCACCGGCTTTTTGCTTTGAGACAGTTTAGACCGCTCGGCCACCCAGCACCTTGTTTACAATGATGTTGTCATCAGCGTTAGAGTGTTTCGAGACATTACCAGATATTTTGTCTTCGCTTCATTTACACGAATACCAGCTTTGACTGTGGCAGATTTAAGTTCCCTGAATGCTTTAATTGTGTCATTTCTGTTTCTGTCCAGTAGCGCTATATCGTCAGCGTATGCCAGGTACTGCAATGCTTGGCTCTATAAAATTCCTGATGGTTCTTGTTCTGTAATAACTCTCTGGAAGTAGTTCTCGCAACACTGTGGTGACAATTCTAGATAGTTATTTCTTGCAACAATGTGGTTAAAGTTATAGATAGTTAATTCTAACTAAATTGTAGCAACAATTCTAATTAGTTAGTTCTTGCAAAATTGTGGTGACAATTATAGATAGTTCTCGCAATATTGTGATGCCAATTCTAGTTACTAATAGCAACATGTTGACATTTGCTCTCGGTTAGCAAAATCTGCAGATTAATTAAATTTCTCCTCTCAAGTTTCTTTGGTAAGAAGCAAACTTGTGGGTTGTTTTTTTTTTTTTTTTTTTTTTTTTTTTTTTTTTTTTTTTTTTTTTTTTTTTTTTTTTTTTTTTTTTTTTTTTTTTTTTTTTTTTATTGTGTTAGTAACTTTTTTGAGTATATAATAAGTAGGTCACTAACAAAACCAATGTCACTACTAAGAAGTAGGTCTTACTATTCATTGAATTTTTTTTTCGCCAAAATTGTAACTTCTAAGACAAAATTAAGATTTATTTACACAACAATGTTAGGCGTTAACCCAAACGTTGACCCCCGATAAACAATCACGAATTTAAAAACACAAAAAGTAAGAATTATCTGATGTAATCAAAATTGTCTTTATTTAAAGTTTATGGAGGCCAGGAATGCCAGCAGATGTGAGGTTTGCGGAATTGCAAGCCTGGATCGCCTTTGGCGGGAATCCTCTCGATAATGACTGCAATCGCGTAGCCTGCGGTGTTGTTGATGTATACGCAAGGTTTGCCAAAGACATCAATTTTGTTTTGTTTATGTCGTCATGACTAAATTTTGTTGTTTCTTCCATATTTGGTTTACGGTCCGTAACCAAGGAGACTATGTCACTAGTTACATCTGTTAGGCCTGTGTATTTGCGATGGAAAGGCTGATCTTGTGTACTCCTATCAATATGGAGAAATTAATCTCCTATCTAAGCGTGTGGTTCGTTCTACAACAATACATAACAAAAGACGATACCAAATGATAAATACAATAATAAAGAATGCGACACTCAAACCAGGGCAAATAACAATCGATAAGTTTTATTAAGTTGCTAATAAATTATAACAACAAAAAAATATATATCTATAATAAAAATCTTTAACTTACAGATTACAGCTTTACATGCCCCGTCACAACGGTGTAGAAAAACGCAATGTGCTAAAAACGTACAATGATCAATAGGAATTTACACAAGGCCCATAAAAAAAAAAAACTCTCACAAGAAAACTACACTCTCTAAATATCTCGTGATAAATGCTGGCTCAAAAATCTTTCATGTCAACTGGTTCAATGAAGGTCCAACCGAAACGACTTTAATTTGCAATCGAATTACCCGGTGCTGTGATGTTAAATAGGATTGTTAAAAAATATCAGATCAATTACGTCCATACAATTGCAAGGACACAAGAACGTTATGTAACAGTAGGATTAGTTCTTCTGGCCTGCCAGAAACATCAGCTGAAAAGTGCGTAAGTAGCAGTAGCAATAGCACTAGCAGTAGCAGTAGTAGTAGTAGCAGTGCAGTTGCAGTAGTAGTAGCAGTAGCAGCAGCAGTAGCAGTAGTAGACTTCAGTGACATTGCATACAAGGCAGGATTCTGTGCTGGACATTACACCTGAGCGGTTCGTTGATGCTTCTGTAAAGTAAAGAACATTCTATTTTCTCTGCAGTTTGCAGCCAAACTTTTATAGCTGCCCCTGCAGGACACTGTTAGTTTTTGTGGATTTACCAAATATAGATTTAATTTCCAGCATCATTAAAAGAAAATCTTTATTTCTTCTGGACCTGGAACATACGTGTAGTTTTCGTCGACCTGTGAACGTTTGTACTTGCTAAGCATTTAAGCAAGCACCAAACAGCAAGATATTGCTGAGTTGCATCAGGGTAATGTTGTAGGGTGGACACGGGATGCGACCAAATATTTACATTAATTAGTAATAATAATAATAAAGTTTATTTCAAAATCACGCTTCATCCACAAAGGCTGGAAGCGCAGTACAAAGTCAACCACATTAAAAGAGAAATGAAAAAAAAAAAAAAAAAAAAAAAAAAAAAAAAAAAATAAAAAAAAAAAAAAAAAATAAAAAAAATTATACAACATTGAAATACAAAACGCAACATTACAAAAACTACATACGAGAAAAACCATTCTAAGTCTTTCATCCCTTGCGTACATAAACAAAACAGGCCAATATACATCTAGGAGATAATATCCAGCTGGAAAGATGTTAGATGAAAGATGGTAGACAACATCACCCCCAACAGGTGTTTGCGAAATAGTTGTGTTTTCAAATCAGTTTTGAAATACTCCAGTGTCTGGCTGTTTCAAAGAGCGTCGGGAAGTGTGTTCCGAGTTGTTTGGCCAGAAAATGCGAAAGTGCGTCACTCGTAAGTCTCAAGGCGAGCACGTGGTATCGAGAGTTTGCCACAATTGGCTGAGCGGAGTTGTCTAGTGGGTAAAATGGAGAGTATTCAAAGTTACAGTAGTGCTAAATGCATACTTTAACAAAAGGATGGGTAAGACGCGGGGGGGGGGGGGGATTGGGTGGTGTCATAGGGTTAGAGAATGTGTCAATCTCTGTGTTTATATTGATAGGGTTTTCTCATTAATTAGGATCAAAATTATAATTATTATATGTGATACTAAATGTTTCTGTGATTATCAGTATTATCTCTGTCATTTTCTTTTTTATATGTTCAAATCGTGATGAGTTTTTAGACACAACAACTTAACTCTTAAAGCAAGCGTCTTTAAAACCATTTGAACGATTTACATTACGTTTTGTGAGTCAAGTAGGACAACTAGTTGTACTTCCATTACTTAGTTGATGTGTGTCTTGCGTCATCTTACTTTTGTAAATCTCGCGGCGTTTACATCCTTTTGTAAAGCTGAAGGCATTTTTTTTACATTAATTTATTTATAAATATCGAATGATGATTTAAAAGATAACTAAACTAAAAGATGCCTGCTATTTGAATGTTACAAGGAGGTCATCTAAATTAGAAGATCTATTTCCACACCCGAGTGTGACTTAGCGGAAAGCTTAACTTGACTTTATTTCCAGTGTCATATTAGCAGGATGTCATGTATGTATTGGCATGAGTCAGTGACGTATCAGCGGGCTCTCAATTATAGGCTATTTGTCATGACATAGACATAAATTAAATGTATTACTTTGATACTTCTCAAAATTAAATTTAGCCGAGTGGCATGACGAAAGATTCCAAAAATTATACAAGTGTATTTTAAGATATAAATAGTCAAATTGTGTTTGGATTTTAAGGATACATGTTAACCTGGACTCGCCGTCTATGGACATTATGTACAGTGTAGGGACTTTTTACATTATATGTGTACCATTTATTTGACGCGATGAAATCTGACTTCTGTTTTGTCCCCCACCCCTTTTCCCCCGCCCATTCTAGTGGAAAGAAGAAGAGGGATCCACAATACGCCTCCGTGTCTGATGAGGAGAGGTACAACCTGCTTAAAGCTCTACTCCAGAGGGCGGCCATAGAGAACACGTCATCATAGGTGGGTCTAAGGCCCCGGGGGGGGGGGATACAAGAAGAGTATAAGAAATGTCAGGCTGGCTGACAGATAACAGCCAGTACTTTTTGAATGAGAGTGAGATTTTCTGAATGTTTTAAAGTGTGGCACGTACAACTCATTTGGAATGTAATCTACCAAAAATTTATATTTAAAAAATGTATACTACCAGATCAATTAAATTGTTTCTCTCCGTAATAAGATGCCAAGTTTTATCTTAAGTATATTAACATTATAATTTGTTACTATTCCTTAGCTGGCTACCAATTTATATAGTCTTTGGCTTCACTGTTTCTTTTCAATATTTGGTCCGTGTTGTTTTGATAAAGCAATTACTTCTTATAAATTGTGCTGGTTATTTGGGGAGTATTTTAACAACTTTTGATAAAATCAAACATTATTGTTATATTTCTCAAACGAATTACTAACACTCGCGATCTTGTCCTTTTTCTTCCACAGGTGAATTATTCTCTCTAGTAGTTATGTTGACCAGTGAGCCGAAGACAGACAAAAGCGACTGTGGTCACCATTGGAAGCAGTTTCGATTAGTTTTTTTAAAGTGTCTGATGTTAGCTGCAAAATTCAAAATATAGGTCATAATGACGTAGCCCGTTATTTCAAGTCTTGAGGTGTTCTCCTGCAATGAATTTAATAAATTATGTTGTTTAATTAAAAAGAAAAAAATGTATCAGTTAAACCTAATAGAAAGCTTTGATAATTTCATCAAGCAGCCTGGCATATGTGAGACTCTTCATTCAATCTGGCCAATAGCATTAAAGTTAAAGAGACATTTGAAACATGTAAAGACAAACAAACTTGGAGTTGAATTTTT